TTGATCCCATCCCTTACCTCTGTCGTAGCTATTTCCATAAACTGAGACAGCACTTTCTCTACGATGGGTTTAGCTTTAGTTGCCATCTGAACAGAGTTCTCTAGAATACGATACTTCAGCGGGTTGGCCTTTGGTTTGAGTTCCTTAAAACATAAATAGTAAAAGATTAATACAGGGTTCGGACCGAGGTAACCACTAAAAGTACAAGGACTATACAAGGAGTATTCAAGGGCACAAAAATGATTTTTTGAGGAGTATGTTCAGCTAACTAAGCCATGGTTTTACACAGTGTTTGCACATGGCCAACTTTCCAAATCATTTCCAGTTCCCCTCATAAAAGGGAAGTAACGCCTGGTTGATATTGTGTTTTCCATACAGTTGTATCAAAACGTTTCGGATGTCTAGATCCATTCAAAACCATGCAAGTAACGATCAAAGCAGATATTCAAGGAGTTTAGCTAAAATCGTCAAGGAGTTTGCAAGGAGTTTATGGAGTAGAACGAACCCTGTTAATAATTTCGATTGTGAATGCGGGCCATATACAAGACARGCAGAATGGATTTGCGCAAAAGCGCACAACATAAAGAGGAGGAAACAGTTTGTTTAGGAAGATAGTCAAGTACCTTAAGGAGTCGTTCTGCTGTTCGCACRGCCATGATCTCAGAATCCTGCTTCTCTGTTGGATTACTAGGAAGAGAAAATTAAACTCTATGAAATGTCTAAWACAACTAAAATCAAAATAATAACTACTATAGACCTCTTGCATGTGACGTCAAAGGAGCTCGATCTGGGGGACAAAACAAAAGAATTCCAATCTCCTGAGAATTGGAACCTATTGTTTTATGCTCAGATTGAGCTGCATTCCAAAGTGCTGCAAGGGGTCTATATGGCAATGTCGCACGCTATATAATACAGCACTTTTCGATGAAAAGCTCGTGGCACGAACGCGGTCGTGATACCGCAAGGCAAACGCCAGACCAATCATATTGCGCGAGAATTTACTCTTAATCCAATCAAATACCCRGAACACGATATGAACACGGCGTGGACACGGTCACGCCAATGTCATGGCACTGTCAGACCAATCACATTGCACGAGAATTTACTCACCATTCAATCAAATACCTGAAACACGGTCACGCCATTGTCATGGCACTGTCAGACCAATCACATTGCGCGAAAAAATTAATCAGCCAATTAAAATTATAGAAAACCTCAGGGGCACGGCGAGGCACGCGTAATCATACGAAATTTACTCTATGATTGGTCAACTTGCGGTCCATAACTAACGCTAAGAACTCTATTTATTTCACCAAAACACATCTAACCTGTTATCAATCTCCATGGCTTCAAACGTTTCTCCGCCCAAGGTTTCATTGTCAGGATTCAAGCAGATCTCGACCATATTGTATACGGCTTTTTCACCCCAGTCGCTGTCTTTTCGAGATAGATTAAAGTGCTTCAATGCTCCGGTAGGATTCARTGTATACCTACAATACAAGAATAAAAAAATTATTACAATTATTCCGTATAAAACGGTACTAAAATTTATTTTGCAGTACGTGTATCGTGTAAAAAATGCTCACAATTATCATGTAAAACGGTACTAAAATTTATCCAACAGTACGTGTATCAAATAGAGTAATGTCCCTCAGGATTGAGTGACCTTTCCCGAATTGAGGGGCTATAAAATAA